TGATGTTTGACTTGCTGCAGCCTGCGTCAGTATGAGAAATGACTCCAGAAATAATTCCAGAAAAAAGCCCTGTCCACTTGCTGACTTCCATTCTGCCTGTTGCTTTCACATCCACTCTCAGATGAAATTGCTCCTGTTGGAATACCCTAGCATACTACAATGGTATGAAAAGTCACATTGCTGCTCTATTTCTGCTGCTTTGGGAAAAGAAAACAATCTTGATATTCCCTTCTTAGGAGTGCCTTTGCATCCACTTTGTCAATGGGCTTGGATGGAACCTGAAAGAACATTTCTATTCTGCAGGGACCCTTATCATTTCACATATTTTGTGAATCTCATAATACTCATTCCAGCCCCATTTGCTGTAAATTTCTTCCATAAATCTGCACTGTAACTTCCCTCAAGCCAGCACTGCATTTCCCAGCACCCTCTGCCCCAGTAAACAATACTTTGAGTATCTCCATTGGTCAATCTACCGACTGAATGAAACAAACTGCCTAGTCAATAGGAAAAGGTCCAATGGGAACACAGGAAGTCAGGAATCACTGGAGAGGTCCAGCAGAAATTACTGGGGGCAAAATCAAATGTCTGTATGGAAAGTGTTGTAATTTAGTTATATTCCAGGTCTAAAAGTGGAAAAACTTAAAGCTTCATACTACTTTACAGCGGCGTTGTTCAGGGTCTGCCAATGTTTCCATTATGAACTGCAATTTTCAAGGGTTTATAACTCAGCCATAGAAATTTCCTTTGGGATAAAACTAGAAATAAAACCTCCCCACCCAAAACCTAATTCTAACCCACCCCCCCCCCCCCTTTTATTTTTGAAGGAGAGAGTTAAATTGAATTTGCTTGGTTTTGAGCCAGATGAGTTACAGATAGATGTTTTTTGCCACTTTTTGTACTATTGCAAAATACAGATTAACTTTGAAGGATCTCGGGTTATAGTGGATGACAAACCAAATACATGTTAATACCATGAAAGAAGGCAAAGGTCTTTTTGGTTTCTGTTAAAATGTGACCATCATTCCTAAGAGACAGGCAGTAGCTATTCTGTGCAGCTTTGCAACGGCAAAGTATCACCCAGAATACCAAATTTGAGCCTTATGTGTTAAAAAGGAATAAACCACAGAAGAACAATAAAAATTATACAGACTTACAAAACATGACATAAAGACTGAAGAACTTAGATTTCATCTCAAAACAGAAATCAAGGGATAAGTGGCAAGAGTTTCCCAATATGAAGAAACAAAAATGTAATGAGGATGGTGATCAGATGCTTTCCAGGTTCACTTCACAAAGAGCAAGAAAAAAATTGAGTTTATCTGCACGAATGGGGTTTTAAGTTACATGCCTGTAAATTCACATGGCAGTGAAATCATGCAGTGGAATCACCCTCATTTTGACCTAGTCATATTACTTAGCACATATTTCTCTTGAGGCCGGATCATCATTTTGAAGTTGGTGGTGAAACGTAGCACTCAAATACAGTTTACTCAAATACACACTCTGAAGTTGCGTGATAAGCTTAAAAAAACCCCACATTACCTTTTTTAGTAAGTATCGTTTGGAAGGGGTTTTTCCCTTTTCTTTGTATTTCTAGAGTTCTTAGAGCATATTTTAATTTCCTTGCAATTCAGACTAGAAAGCTGATACAATCATAAACAAAATTCTCACATAACTATGACTCTATATGAGCCACAGCTTTACGAAATATATCACAAAATGGCAAGAGTTTTTAGCTCTGCATTTATTCCATTACCCAGTTTACTTACCACATTTTACTTGCGACCAAGAAACTACAGTGAGCAGTTTCTTTTTTACAGTGTGAGTTTTGTTTCACTTTGCTCAACTAGCATAATTTGAAGAGTCTTTAACCAGCACTCTTAGAATAACCATAAGGGTTATTCCCTATTTAACCAAAGCACAAGAGTTATCAATAGCTTGAGCAGAATTTGAGAATCGATTTTTTCAGTCTTTGGGGGAAAAAAAAAAAAAAAGGAGTTTCTTCTGAGATTATTAACAAGAAATATTTGCTGGCTTCTAGTCCCTTTTGTGGTAGCTTATCACAAAGGTTGGGAGCTTGTGGCCATTTCAATACAGTATAAAAACACTGATTTATAATTTTAAAGATTATGAAGCTTTGAAAAGCTTCAGACTGTTTTACATTTGGCTAAGAAAGCTGAGAAAGCACTTCATTTTATGCACATCACATAAATTTTAAAGATTGCTGATTCGTTCCTAAAGAGAAGCTTATCTCCAAGAGGTGGCTGGGGAACAGATCATAACCTTCTGTGCCTCTCAAAAGCTTCTGATATTTTCTACTCCCCTTTGGCCCCTCTAAGTATTACCTCTTCTCTGAACTGAGGTTACGGCCCCCAGGGTCTCTCCTCTGAAGGTTATTCACCATCTCTGCTATTCTCCGTCACCCTCTCCAACCATGTCTCATTGGATTGCATCATGCTGGTACCTCAGATATCTGCTAAGTACTGTCAGCTTCAAACTCTATCCTGGCTCAACATATTACACATCACTTTCTACCCTTTAAAGGAACCCCACAACAACCCCATCCCAGACCCCACAAGAAAAGAGTGAGGTGCATAATTTTTCTTCCTAGGAGATGAGATCCTCCTGGACTGTGTTTTTCACCCACGCATACTGCTATCATACCCCCTCACTCAGTGTAACTCAGGTTGCAACACCAGATCCAGACTCAAGACCTACATGTTTTGTCTCTGCATCTGGCTTGTGAAAGTAAAGCCCAGCTTACTTCTGACTCAACGGGCAAGGTCATAACCTACTCACAGCTAACCAACCTGGCAGCTCATTCCCAGGCCCTCATTACTGTGATGCTGACTGGACCTTGTCATCTGTATGCCAAACGTGACCCTGCAAGAAGAAGAAACTTCTTGAGCATTCTGTTCCCACTTCTTCTACAGTTCTACTCTTGAGTGCAAACCATCACCTGCACGAAGCGGACATGGGCTCCAATCTGGAAACACCTTGGCAAAAGGCTAGTTTTCTCTTCCCAGATAAGTCCAAACAGAGCAAAGGCTGAGCACCTCAAAACTGTTTGACACTAAAGTTGACCAAATCAGGTTAAGTCATCTGTGACAGAACAGACTACACTGAAAGTCTGATTTTGCCTTGAAACAGTTCAGGAATCAATTGCTACTAGAGACAGCCTGAGACATGAGCCACATTTTTCTTGCAGAAACACAAGCCTAAGACTGCAGACAGACTTCATGGACTCCCCTGGTAAAAAAAAAAAAAAAAAAAGTACCCAAAGTCTGTGTGTCAGCAAACGTGTGATGACTGAGTTGGAATTACACAGAAATACAGATGCCCCTGTTCTCGATCCTGCTTCGGGTGGTGCCCCACAACACACACCACTACCATATAGACACTGCTCCATACTCACCACAGGAGGACAACACACAAGACTCAAGTTCCTCAAACTGCTTCCCTTCTTCATTATCCCCTTTCTACCAAGATTTAAACAAAATAGACAGTATTAGCTGCACAGAACTCTAATTTTTTAGTGAGGTTCCCTGGACTGCATCTCACCTTCAGCTAAGCAACTTTCAATACAAATAACAAAATGAAGCAATACTATTATAAGCACTCCTTGGGTGGGTTACAAGTCAAGTTGCTGATGACTGAGTAAGTTTAATTACCTTCAGAGCCCTGTAACCTCCCCAGAATAGCCCAAAACATTATGAAATGGAATTTGTACGCAGAAAGCAAGGAAAAAAAACCTTTTAATTTACCAGGCTTACAACTATGATTATGACAATAATGGTGGGTCAGAATGTTCCCATTACATCAGTGGATCTATAATTAGCCCCCAACTGTTTTTGAGGGAGTAAGAACACCTTTCAGCTTGCCCCGGTTACTGTATCAATTGCAACACAAATGCTCCCTCTCCGTTGTCAGTATTATGCCACCATTTCACTGACATTTTCCTGAGGCTTAAAAACCCTCAACATCTGCTGAATTGCCCCTTCAACATTCTCCTCTACTTGAGGTACTATCCAGGAGAAGCAACTCTTCAGCTGGCACAGGGTCAAACCCAAAGTAACCCCACTGATATCAGGTCCTTGGCTGATGTATTGGCAAGGTTCAACTGGTCCCAAAGGAGCTACACCAGCTTACAGAAGGAACTGGCACAGACAACTCCACTCTACTCCCAATAGCATTAACAGGTCATCCTAATTATTTATTGAAAGTACATTTTATTTTCCTGCTGCTCTCTAAAGCCAAATCTCTCTAAAGTGGTCTCAATCCAGTGCCCAGAGCTGGATGTTAAGCTATTTTTGAGTGCCTTTAAGTTTTGAATGCCACCATCAGGTAACTTTTACCAGGTCTGGCCAACCAGCCAGAACACACTCAAAGCCCTGAATATGTCAAGCACAAATCTGGGAACGTAATTTTCACCATTTGATTATCTCAGACAAAACACAATTTTGACTACAAGAGACATTAGTGCATGCAGATGTTATACATGTAAATCATTACAGCACACTCACTTGTGGTTACAGCAATGAAGGGAATTTGACAAAGTAAAATGAGGCCCATCCTGCTTAGCACCACTTCAGCATTTGATTAATTGCAAAGGGAAGGTTTTAAAGAAATTGCAGTGAATTACATTTAAATGACTTGAGGTAATTACAGTGCAGTAATTTTTAAAGCCCACCTTAACACACTAACTGCTATGGAAGAACACTATTAAACTTACTGATACTTGTGTATGTTTTACTACAAAAAGGGAATGACACTGATTTGAATTACTACTATTCACAGCAATCCATGTAAGTATGCACAGCAGCGTTTGCTACATAAGGATTTATGCTATTACTTCTGCTGCAAATGTAATGTCAGCTATTGTGTTAGCCCATTAAAGTTCTGTGGTTAAAAATGTTACTGCTGAGGTAGCTTTCCCAATACCGCTTCCTGTCAAAGAGCAGTCACAACTAAGGGGAAGAAAAAAAGGAAAGGCAGTGTTTTCTGAAAAACATATTTATTCAGAAATATATATTCCTTTAGTAATTATTTTAATATTGCAAAAAGTCAAGCACAAAAAGATTTACCTGAATTTCCCAGCCTCCCATTTATCTCCTCTTTTGCCCTTCTATCAATTTCCCCTGGTAAAAAAAGAAAGAAGAGAAATGGATCCTCAAAAGAACGAAGAACCTTTATGGCTTTTAAAGATAAAACATAACGCTTTTCCAGGCTGAAAGAAGGGGGAGAGAGAAGAAAAGTTTTAGTCATGCCAATTTTTTTGAAAAGTAACAAAACAGAAATTGTTGCACTGTTTTCCTCCCCCCACACCAATGCTATTTGCTGCATTTCAAAACCTCATACAATAAGGGCAGCCAGCCTGTAAGTCTGGAAGGGAATTTAGCACATGTTACTGGTGGATGATTTCAGCATAGCCACAAGGGGAACGCATTTAAAGATCCGTATGTTTGGTTGGCACCAAATCAAGTTCCATTAAATAACACTGTATTCAGCTACACAACAAATTTACTCACCATACATTTCACATGAGAACTAATTTGTTTGATAGCAATATTGCTGATGTTTATATTGGTTTACTGTAATGAAAACAGTATTTTCCAAACTATGAACAAATGCATACCAGTAGTTTTACAGGGGCTTAACCAAAGTACTGGTATTGCTTCAAGAAGGGAATTCACGCAATATATATGTTTCTTGGAGCTGCTCACACTAAACATAGGAAGGGGGTTCCTCTATGAAGATGGAACTTGCTTATAACACTGGGAGAGCAGATCTAAGTCTCTACATGGGTCATGGGGAGAGCTGCTGAGGCCAGCAAGACTACACAGGCAATTCCAGGCTTGACAGCCTGATGTGTATGAAAATGTCTTCAGGAAAGCCAAACATGTATGTCTAGTTCTGATGCAGTTGAGCATGACATGAGGCTCTCCTTTCTCACGACACTACAGAAATTATGATGGCAATCACTTACCCTGGTTTAGCTGAATGTTAAGCTCCTACATTTCAGACAAGAAACCAAAGGGCCTTTAGATAAGTGAAATTCACTTACTGTTGCCTATTTGGTCAACAAAGCTGCCAAACATTTTCACATATAGAAAAACACTGGCAACTGAGTTGTGCTACAAAAACAATCAAACATCTTGAGGATTTCACCTATTAATTCCATTGGTCTGGCACTAATCAACTGGACATCTCAGAAAAAATATGTTTCCTTGTTGGAGAAAGAAACCAATTCTTCCAAGAAAGTCACCTTCAGTGGTTCACATGTTTATACTTCTGCTTAGAGAAGCATCATTTTAGAAAAACAACTGAGCAGGAGCCAAGGATGATTTAATGATACACTTACTGAAACCTCTGCAAATTGTCCTTTTTGTCAACTTTCGATATACAAAATCTGCCTTGGCACTTGTAATCTTAATATCCATCCTTTTCACCAGGACAGTTCTGACTTCTGGTTATGAGTCATGCTAAATTATAAACACAAACAGAAGCATGGGCCACATTGTTTCCAAAAACTATGTCAACATACTATTGAAAATACTGGCAGCACCCTCCTTCATTTTTTATCAAGTTCATTACTGAGGGAATTGTTTTAGATTAGCACACAGCACTTCACATCACCTTAGTACGTGCTGCAGGTGTGCAGGGCTATTCAGTGAAAACAGTGTAAAACCCATTCATTTCTCTGAAAAGTGCAGGATCAAAGCTTAAATCAAAAGGGGCCTGCTGATAAACCTGATTTAAATTGCTGCATATCTGGAAAAGCCCTATTGATGATTATGCAATAGTTCTTGTCCAGAAGGTTATCCATCAGCCATGGCTATTTCTGCAGTGCAAATAAAATTAAGGGAAGTTCCATTTTCTTTTAAGTATAAATGAAGTTTGCTGTCAGAAGGATGCGTATCACATTAACCTGCAAATTACTCTAACTTACATGTCATGAAAAAATAAACCCAAAAGGGAGACCTTCCTCAGATACAAGCATACCTTAACTGGGCTAGAGATTAGCAATTAAAAATCACAGGCATGGAAGGGAAGGATAGGTGAGCGTTTGACCATTGTTACTACTCTGGAAGCACTAAATCACTGCCTTTGCTTTTTTGGCATACTGCTGTAACTAAGGTTCATAATTCTTTTGGCTGCCTCACACAAGACCTTGGCTACAGTAAGAACTTCATCCCAAACCCTCCAAACTTAAACAAAACAAACTCCATCTTTGAAGCCAGACTCTCTACATAGATCCATCAGTGGGAACCATAGGCTCTAAGGCAACAGAGGCTATTCACAGACTTGAGTATCAATATTTGGCTGAAATGCATTCCAGAAAGGATTTTTTACACTAAGATTAGCAATGACAGCAGGTAAGCCTTGCTGTCTGATTTTGTTCTGCATGTTTTAAAGGCCAAGAAGCAGCAGAAGTCATACCTTTATAAATTCCCTACTGCTGTATACATGACAGTAACATCTCTTGATGTTAACAAACTATCTGATGTGCTTGATGTCTACATACATCCTGAAAAACATCTTTAATTACACCAAGAGAGCTCAAGCAACCAATAAATTATCTTACTTTTTATTCTGAGCTTTAGAGTGTTAGACTCATTCATGTTGCATTTAATTTAGAACAATAAGTACTTTCAAGAAGCCTGAACAAGATATCCTGCAATTGCAAAATACTGGCCTTATGAAGTAGTGGAAAAGTTGTAAGTATACTCTCTGGTCTATTTTGACAATCTTTTAAGGCCCAGGTTACAAAGTCTCATTGGCTTTGCTCTCAGGAATCTAACTTCCTTATCACTAGCAATTAACGATCCAAGAATAACACTCAACACTCATTTCATAACTGTTCTGGAGGACTTAACAAGGAGCAACCAGCTTTTGCCTGTATTTTCAAAGAGCCTACAGATTTACACAACGAACTCACAAAAGATTTCAGCTGCCACCTCACCAAAGAAGTGCCTACAGCTGTCAAATGCTTAACAAGGGAGCTGAATTTCTGCACTTTAAATCAAACTCACAAAATCTGTCTTGATGGTGGCACATTAGCTAAGGTAGTCAGGCTCACTGCTGTGCCCTGGGGAATAAGGGGCTTTACTAGATCCATGCCACTGGCTCCTCTGAAATTGTTTTATTAATCTAACTGTTCATTAAACACAGTGCTCACTCGAGACACAGGGAACAAGATCATTTCCTGCCTCTGCCAGAGAGAATGCAGGTTGGTATCCCAGGCTCACAGGAAATGACTCAAACCAGTGATCAGCAGACTGACGCAGGATGCTGTCTTCTCCACTTCAACACTTAAACACTCCTTAGAAAGATGGAGCAGCAGCCTAACTCTTTTGCAGGTACTCACCTAGACAAAAGAAAATGTTCAATACCTTTTGTGTTCTACTGAATGATGATACAGTCTATACTAAAAATATACTAGATAAATTGACTATACAGGTAACATTTTAAGACCTGGTACACAGGTGAACTTGCTCAGATGGGCAGTGAAATTAAATCCAGGTGTCTCACATCTTTAGCTAACACTAGCTGCTGAAGTACAGAATGGGGATGGGAAAACCACTGCCTTTTCCTTTCCTTATGGCTCTCATTTGTAAAGAGAAATACTCTCCCTCACAGCTCTGTACAAGAAGAAGCACTTGTCTTGCACATGCTGGGTGAGCGCTACTGATCAGTTGGTAACCAAGACATGAACAGGATGCTGTTAAGTCCCAAGGCAGTGTATAAAGAAACATTTGAGCAGACAATTTGGTATTGAAAACAGAGCTGCTAGCTGCTGTTTCTTCTGAGTAGCAATATCAGGTTCCTACAATGGAAGGGAGTTAGGGAAACAAACAAACAAACAAAAGTAGGAAACTGCATGAATTGGTAATTGTCTTATTTCCTTTCTCTAGGGCACCTTTAACCAGATGCATCACAAATTAAGGTTGACACAAGTTGGAAAACTCATGGAATAGATTTTTCTTTTAAGATCTCCCAAACAACCTTCTCAGCTGTCTTAGAACGTGTCTCAACTGGAAATAAACTCTTATTGCTTTTCTCCATCTATATCTTAACAAATTCAATTCTAACATCATCCACTAGGTTCCCATTTCTGTGTTTTGCCATCTGGATTTCATCTTTATAAATACAAGTTATATTCACTCACTTGGCTCACTCCATCTGTAGAGACTTGTTAAATGGCTTTAAAGATGATTTACTAAAAAAGCTAAAGATCTAGCATGAGAAGAGACTAATTTAAGTAGGGAACTTACTTTAATGTTAAAATTATGTTACCAAAAACTTCTGGCTTCCCTCACTGATTAGTCCATTTCTGCTTTATTCACATTTGTTCTCTGGCTCTACATGTCTGTATTAGCACATTAATTATTCAGAAGGCACCCAGGTTCAAAGCAATGATCTAGTCACAAGCTACAAACATCTGAAATACAAATGTGAACTGTCAGAAAATTAGAAAGGAAAAGAGTCCTAACACTCAGTGCTTTGTTTCTGAAGCAGTATGGAACACACCAACAGAGCCCACGAGAGTCAAAGGTTAAACTAAACTGGTTTTCTTTTGCTTACTGAAACAGTACCAAGCTCCAACAAAGTAACATCAATCTGAGTGGATTTACTCAGTTATTTTGGTTATATTTTTAAATGCTATTAGAAGTTTGTACTTAAATGCCAAACTCTTCCAAGTCTGGAAGAAAAAATCCCCGAAGAGTTACAATAGGACATAAACAGCATGCCAGGTAATTGCTCCTGTCTCTTCTGGATCAGCACAGCACAGAGCCACCATCGTTCTACTGATGCTCTCATACCTTCAGTAGCTCAAGTGATACAGATCCATGCTTAGCATTGAAATTTTGCAGTTTGTTCCTGAAAATGATGTACAGGACTGTATCTTTAAGTATGTTTTTCTCCTTCAATCTGTAAGAAAGAAACAGGAGAAAGCCTATGTAAAAGAAAAAAATTAAAGAGACAACTCTGAGTTTGCTCCTCTTAAGAGTACATGTCATCTATCTCCTTAATATCATCACATGATACACAAACACCTGTAAAGATATCAGGTCTGAAACATTAGGGATGAATGGAAAGTTGTATTCTTTTCACTCTCTTTCTATACTAGATACAACTGATGACATACCAGCTCAGGACTCTGTACGCCCAGGCCCCCCTGCTACTGTAACTGTCCCAACAACATGCAATGACTTAGTCAAAAGGAAACTCTTTAATCCTTAAAGACGCTACAAAGTACTTCAAACTCCACCCAGCAATCAAAAGATAGATCCTGGAGCTGTAGTGCCTTTTTAAGCCTTTTTAAGTGTACACTGCTTTTTTAAGTGTAGTAAAAAGGGGCCAGTCAGTCAAAAACTTACCTGAATTCCTTCTGAAACATGATGTTAAGCACCTGGGCTGATTTTGACTATTAAAGTTTTCATTTGACTAGAAATTTAACAGCAGGCCCAGTGTCTTCAAGGAGTAACATTGCCTTTGGCTGCTTCTCAATTCCAACCAGCAGTTCAGCTTTTTGTGGGCTAAGCTTTCATCTGTTTGTCCAACCTGAGCTAGGCACAATCTGGGACACAGAACCACACAATCCTCAGCAAGTGGGCTAGGCATTTGCCCATTTATGTCCAAGTCACACACTCCTCACTGCAGCTACCTGTATACTGAAGGAAAACTCTACTGAGAAGTTCTCTAACATTCCAAAAGTGACCTCAAAACTCTGAGATTTGGGACCCCTTTACAGCATAAACCCAACAGATTTCCAATCTCATGTCAGTGTGTCTCCTGATTAGGTGGCATTTAACTCACAAGCCAAGGAAGATGGAAGAAAGAAAGATTTAAACTGGGGACTTCACTGTTTTCTAAGGAAGATATGTAATGCAAGCCTTCCAAATTGTTTCTCAGCCTATATCAGGGGAACAAAACCAAACTCTGTATTTGCAATTACAGACACTGCAAAAACAATCAAAAGAACTGGGTTTGGCTTAGTAATAATTTCTATTTCCTCCATAACCTTATTTCAACTGCTTTGTGCTATTCTGACCTTATAAAAAGCCACCTTGCCAGGAGGCCACCACTTTCTCATCTGAATGCACTTGTCACCAAAATGAGTTGTCACCTTGCATTAGCAAGTTTAAACAGCCTACCGACAGGAACAGTAGGATAAGCAGAAAACAGTGCAAACCTCAAAATGATGTATTAGCCCTAAAATGCCTCCAACTTCACTTGTCAAGGATTGCAATTAGAGTTGGGCCAAGGCAATATTAGCTCAGCTGCCTCTGAACACACCTGCTTCCATTTAATTTGTAGTAATTAGGAAGCCCGGGGCACCAGGAAAAAGTGCTACCTGGTTACTGTTTCAAATAGCTGAGTTTTCATGTGCCATTTAAAACCCTGTTTCTCAGAATAGCCTGCTGACTCGCTAATGCTAGCAAAATGAAATAAAGCAAAGTATTTTTAGCAGCAGGAAGTTGTTACTTGCTACTGCCAATTACATGCCTTGTGCTTGAACAGTGACATTTCTTTCCCCTTTGCTTATTCTTCAAGATAGGTAAAAGCTGGCTTTGGTGCATGAGGATTAAAATATAACTCTTAGTCCAGTGGAGCTGGCTAATGCTTGTGGAGTCATAGCCAGTATAGACAGCAACCTGCTGTGACAGGGCAAACAACAGTGTCCTAGATCCACTCTTCAGAAAAAGGGGAGGGACAAGATTAAGCAAAAGAGTTGGATCTATTGGCTTTGGCAAAAGGCTGAATACCTTATCATGCTAAAAAAACTGCTAAATGTGGGGAAGAGAAGGGGGGGGCAATAAAAAAAGCCTTAAAATTACATAAGAAGAGATATTTATACCCTGAGTTAATTTATCAAAATGACATAGAAATGAATCATCCACCATTAAAATAACAGGATACAAGTTTTCTTTATATCACAATCATTATTTACAACTCTTAAATATTCACAGAGGAGTCAAGTATCCTCAACTTTTCATTTCAAATGCTGTCTTGCAGGCCAAACTAAATCTGTTGGAAAAATAGGTTTCTACTGAGGAACAGTGCTCAAAGAATGGTTTTTTCAAAAACAGGATAGAACTTAACTATCATGATGGCACTTTATCCATTGGAGTTTTTTTTAAGCCTACACTATAAACCACACAGGGCTCAAGCAACCTGCATAAAACTAGATCTCTGAGTAACAAATCAATGAGAATGAGTAATAACTAGGGCCTCTGGTATAGCTAGACACAGCTACTCGTGGCTTTCACCACTAACTTTGGTTAGTTTTTGAGGTGACATACAGCTCTGCTTTGATGTAGGTTCATTCCCACATTCTGAAAACACAACTGAAGGCAATAAAGTTCCTCTAAGTGAAGTAACTTGAATATATGCATATATTCCCACAAGTAAAAAATCCATTATTTAAATAAGACTATAGCAGCCTTTTTATGCTCTAATGCTATTACAGAGATGACCACACTATATTTTTCCATGTTAGAACACACACAAAATGAAAAAGAAAGGTATCTGGGAAATTAAGGTAAATCCTACCTGAATACTGTTTTGATTATTTAGGAATGGCTTTAATAATATTAGTCATTACTTTCCATAGACTGACATGAATGTGCATTTCAAAACTGGACAAGAAAACAGAAAAAGAAATCCATATGATAGAATGAGTGTAATGAGTGTTAATAGCACCATCAATTCACCACTTAAGTGAACTTCATAGAATGTAACAGTGTCTGCCTCAAGCTGTGCTTATATAAGGTACATGGGACACTCACATACATGCCAAGCATGGTCTTAAAACCACAAAAATCAGAAAGTACGTGAAAGCTGCATCTTATTTATTCATTTGCGTTTATGCTTCAACAGGTAACTTCTTTACAATCCAGGTTTTTAGTTTTTCGATTTCAGGTCTGCTTAGCTCATGATTAAGGTTTGGAAAAGTATGAAGTGATGTTGATACTCCCAGTGACTTGAGCATCTTGTTGGTCTCTTCACCCCATGAATAGAGGACAAGGTCATCAGCAGTTCCATGACACTGAAATAATTCTGGAAGAACACTTTCATTTCTTTTCAAAGCCTAGATGTAAAAAGAAACAGACACATCACTAAAAAAATTAAATTAATCGCTAATTACATGGTGAGAATTTTCATACATTTTAGTAGTCACGTACTCTCTCTACAAAAGCAAACGAAATACTGCGAATAAACTGCACTTCCACATGCAATTCCAATGTGCTAAATCTTGGCAAATGATAGGGTTTAAGGTCTATACCCCTCTCCAATAAGAGAAATAGAAAAAAAAAATCATGACTGCAAATGAAGCCCACAAGAATTGTAATTCATCATAAATTTTCAAATAATAGTTATATGGGCTCTCTAACAATTAAGGAGAACTCAGAAATAATTTAATTTCCTCATCTGCTTTCTACACTAAGTTACTACAAATAAAATAATTGCACTGTCTGTGCAAAAAAGAAACAAAACATTATGTAAGGGCAGCTTTTAAACCTCACTCTCCTAATACTCTAATTATTTATTTCCAAGAAATGTCACAGATTGAGAATATTAATGAACTGCATCACATGAATAAACATTCTATACTCAATTATCCTCTTTTAGCTAAGTAGTTTTTCTGTAAAGACTACCATACACTCACCTGATAAACAGCAGAGTCTTTATTCAGAAAACTAGACAAAGCAAAGACTCCTGCCAGATCTTGATGAAACCTATATGCTAAGTGCATTGCCATTCCACCTCCCATGGAAAAGCCTCCTAGGATGCAACAAAAGAAACAAAGATTGAATTTTGCTATATGATTTTGTAACCCAACCAATTTTTATCTTCAGGCTTGTTTCTTTTATACACAATGCAATCAAAAGCCACTGAGTAACATAAAGGTTGCAGTGATTTTAAACCATGATTCAATTAAGAAGTTGGATAGCTGAAGTACTGCTCAGGATTAGTTACTGTATCTATGTGTATTGTCCCTATCAGGCACTTAAACACCATGATCACATACTCTCTGACATTAACGAAGCAAACCTCTATGAACAAATACTTCTCAATGCTTTTTTATTCAATTTATTTTTCCCCTAGGCTAGTAGCATGCACACGAGATCTGTATCATTACTGTACATAATCAATGAACATTCACCACATTAAACACAGAGGTGTACTAGGCTTGTCTGCTGGTTTGGGTTTTTTTTGTTGTTACATCTTAAAAATATATAATAAATGGGGGAAAAAAATGCAGTACACCCCACCTGAGCTCTAACAGGATCTCTGAATTAATGACTTTCTGTGCTCCATATGTCTCTTCAGCTGCACTAATTCCTTATGTGAGAATTCCTCAGGGATGGTTTTTACATGACAAACGGTTATTCATTTGGAAATAAATCCAGACTGCTGCATTACTTCACAAGGACACAGTACATAGGCTATTATACTGACTGTTTCAAATAAGGACTGGGGTGAAGAATGACTGTCTGCTGAAATCTCTTCTAGCACAGAGATTGCAACCAGCAAAAAGGCAGCTCTACTTAGGGGGGCATTAGCATTCATGGTACTGGTGATACAAGTGGTTTGTACCAGGCAGTTAACTGGTGTTAATTAGATGTAAGATTCTGAGCCCAGACATTTTCACACAAGAGGCATAAGATCAGGGATGGAAGAAAAAATACAAAAATAGCAGACAAGATATCAAACCATTTCAGCTTGTTAGCTTTTTGAAGAGATTAAAATGAGATTCCAGAATGGGAATAGTTCTTTTTCAAGGGCTACGTAATCCCTCTGTGGCTGACTTATGTGCTGTGCTGAAGTTTGACACAGATGCTAAACAAAACCCAGCCAGAAAGTTTCACTGTGGGGCACTCTAAGCCCAGTGGCACCCTGTAACTTTGGATCACTGGATCCTGGGACCACACAGGAAATCTCTGGCACACACACCAGCTCAGAGGCAAGAAACACTGCACTTTGGAAATATTAGCTGGGCCATGGTTAGACTGCTCCTAATGGGGAATCCTCTTCTAGCACGTTTATCTGCAAGTTTCAGCAGGTCTGAGGCCCATCTAGCTCACACTATGTTGTGAG